GATTAAAGTCAGTATAGGAACTAAAATAGTATGTTTTTATATGACATAATGAAGTATTAGACCCTTTTAGTCTAACTAATCGCACTACACTTAGATATGTTTGTGTGAACCATAATTAATTATTATATGTTAGTAGTGAAGATACAATACCTTTCTATTTTTTAGTATATTTCTTTTCGAGGAAAAAAGAGAATAACCAATTAAATATGTAGGAATCGGAGTCGTTGCGTACACAGATGTTGATATATGTGTATAAAATGGGAATATAATAAAGAAGGACCGAGTGGTTTATTGTGGTAACAAGTATTGTATTAGCAATTTGGCGATTTCGAATTGTTTTATCTTTTAAAGTAAAACGTAAGAAAAGGGAGTGTGTGGACGTACGTCCTTAGTTTGCGGCTGCTAAACTTTTTACGAGTGGACCATGTCAAACCAGGTTTTATATTAATGAGATTTGGTTTCAATTAATTAGTTTCATTAATCATTCATTTGTGTATATATCAATCGCCTCAAGACGGCACATTACATATCTTTTCGTACAAAAGAACAGTGCACGCGTCTACACACATGTATACACACAATCTCACACGTCACGTACGTTTGGTACGTATGCTTGAAACACTCAAATGTACTTTTTGAGATCGATGGTAAGTATTAGCAATTGTGAGGTTTTGTACGTCTGCGTGAAACATTGAAACATACATTTTGAAATGGATCGATAGATGGTAAGTATTTGCAACATATCAAACCCTACTAATTCGAGGTGAATAAATATTTTGCAAGAGATTTTCAAAAACCAGCCGCATCTAATATATTCATAACAAAATCAAAGAGTCTAAATGGCTACACTACAACGTGTCATTGTGTCAACGACTTTTGTTTTAACTTTAAAGTGGAAACGAACACATAACTTTTACAAATTTACACCCTGAAACCAAAATCTTTACCCTACCACATGCGGATTTATAACATTTTTTAAATGGTAAGTATGAATTAGCAAAGTAGCATTTTAAAATATTTGGGTTAAAAAGTAACGTAGCATTTGATCACGCGTTTTCTCATTTTTCACCACATATTATCTACTAATTAATTAATCATTCGTACTAATGATCCAATATCATTCATTAACCTATAACTATTAAAGTAACGTGTTTACTCAAAAAACAAAAGGAGAATGGCTTGAGTAGGAAGCAACCGACATGAGGGATTGAGGGTAGGGATAATAAAACAGCTAATAACGCGTTATAACCACACGTGCTTATGACAACCTTCTCTTTTGTGATATTTTGGCCGTTTGATCAACCACACATGTCATAGTAACAGCTGCTTGATATACGATTTTACAGTGTTAAGCTTTTGGGTCGGGCCGGGTCGGATGGGTCCATGATCTCGACACTCCATTCTCATCAGACACAAAAGGTTATGTTCTGAGAAAAGCGTGTAATCCCCACCTCCCAACAAAAGTTTTCATGATTTTGTAACGAAGAAAACAAAACTCAAAATGGTAAGATACAAAGCTATAAATCTTTTATACAAAGCTGTAAATCTTTTATACCACTTTACTGATTTTTAGTAATTCAGTTTTATCGATCAAATTAAAAAATCATTTAGAAAAATCAAAATAGTAAGAAATTAATTAAAATTTTACTAATTTTTGATAACATTTAAAAATCATTATTGATTTTGTTTCAGTGCATTTTTTTTTTTTGATAAAAACCCTATCTGCTGATCCGGTCAGTCCGAACACACCAAAGTGCTACAGAGTAGACTCGGATCGAACGGACCATGAGATCTAGAATTGGGTCACCACACTGACTGATCCGAATTTAAAGTGTCTTCCGACTAATGCCAAGAAGTAGTCAGACCGCATGCATTTCTAACTACTAGATAAACCAATTGAGCTAAGGTCCAACAGAATGACTTTCCAAACAAATATGTTTTTGTTTCCAACGCCGGAATTCACTGCATTTATTATATACCGTTTCACATATTCTGTACCATTTGTTCATCTATAACTGTTTGAACACTTAAACCAATTTCAAATTCGCCATTAAACTATTTAACTATAAGTCGAGTTTATTTGGTTTGTAAAAGTAATAAATGATTTTGAAAAATCGTCCTTATACTCCTATTAGAAATTAACAAAAATAGAAATGATGGGTGGAGGCGTGGAACAATAAATAGTTAACGAGATTTGATGACCGATGACTTGTCGGAGAAGAAGCAAACTCTCTGCTGACGTATGCTTTGTGTCAGCTTATTTTCGAAGCTTCTTTCTTACGCGTTATTCTTTATTTTTAATTGTTTTTTTCATTTACTTTTCTAAATTTACTGTTTCTCAATGTATTCAATTAATTTATTTATTAACTTGAATTTCCACTAATTTTGTCTCTTTCTGTTGGTTTTATCTTTCCCTCAGAGCACATTTTCTCATTAGTACTCTCTATCTACGTGAAAGTATGTGCTCAAGCTGTTTTCAAATTTTTTTATAATTGAAATTCCTTATAGGAATTGCCGTTAGCTTAGTATATTTATGTATCATAAAGGAATATTAATTTTGTAGAAAATGTAATCGGTTTAAAGTCTCACATTAATAGTACTCTCACATTGATAAATGCGCCAAATAAAAAAAAAAGTTACTAAAAACTGCGTGTTTATCACTAGTGAGCTTGTCATAGTTATTGTAGTGATTAATCTAATTATAGTTGGTCCTTAATTTAATCTTTACTAAGAAAAGAGAAATTAACTATTGCAAGGTGTAATATGAAAAGAATCGGCGACAAGACGTACAAGTCAAAATAGAATTAGGCGAAATATAAAAATTTACGTCAGGAGAGGATCACAAAAATTTTCTTTTCCCGTAAAAAAACAATTATATTGGAAAAGACAAGTTGTCGTTAAAAGTTAAAAATCAAACAAAGCCGCGAGGAGTTTAAAATTAAAAACATAAAAGTAAAAAGAGTAATAATCAGATGCGGCAGACCCACACCTTTTGGTTTCGTACGTGTCTTCTCTTCCCTCACGCGCCTTTCCTCGTATCCCTTGGTCTTACTGTTTTAACCGGTTATTTCTTTGTCTACGCGTAAAAACAAGGGTCACCATTCTATCAAGATTTTTTTTTTTTTTTTAATCAGACAAATTTATATGCAAGAAATCCAAACTAACTTTTTATCATTAAAAATGTATTAGGATAACCAATCAAACATAATTTAAGAGAGAATCAATATATGATCTATATAAAAAAATCCAGATATTAAACGAAAACTATTAATCCATTACAACTTGGTGCTGTCATATAATTCGACTTGATACGAAAATTGATTAAGAAAAAAATATATTTGAAAGTGACTTAGAATAGTTTTCTAGAACAAAATTTATCATATCTTGCATTTCATCATATTTTATAATTATTACTAAATAAAAAGCTCCAAATTTTTTAAGATCTCTAATTTCTTTTTCAGAAAAAAAGAAATCTATATAAACTTTTATTCATACTTCATTTAGTGTTTTTATTAAATTATTCTTTTAACACTATTATCGATCTAGGTGATATATAGTTTTTACTGATTAGATTATAATATCGTGTTAAGGCTAGTTGCAGGATTCTAATCACCTTATTATAATATGTTTTGGATGGATGTAACATAAAATTAATAGTTATGGCTAGCCATACATCTAATGTGGTATATAAAATTGGGGGATTAGCAAAAATACCCCTTTTCTCATGCCCCTTTTAAAAAATGCCCCTTTTAGATGTCCATTTTCAAAAATGCCCTTTTTTAAATCTGAAATTTTTATAAAGTTTTATTAGGTTTATAGGGTACTTATGGATTGTAACTACTACTTGAAGACCCGATCCAAGTATTTATAAGGTTTTATAAGGTGTTTTTAAAGGATTTTTAAGGTTTTTCAAATGTTTTACAAGATATTTTAAAGGTTTTTAAAGGTATTTAAAATGCATTTATAAGGTATTTATAAAGTATTTATAAGATTTTAGATACATAGAAATGTAGTTTGTGTATGTTTTAATAATATTACATACATATTTGGGTAAATCTTATATTTTTAAGAGCATTTTTTATAAGGTTTTAAAAACGGAGTATTTTTGAAAAGTGGCATTGAAAAAGTGGCATTATTAACAATTTCCCTATAAAATTAGTGAAAAAAACATGTTTACAAAGACTAAAACGAAGGTTTCTCCATATCGATTTACAAGTTAAGGAATTATTTTAGTTTGTACAAAATGTAAAAATATTTTGGAATTTGATCAAAAAAAATTGAAATAAATAGTCCCTCCTTTGCTTATGTCAAACGTTCATAGAAAAAATGAAATGTAACGAGCCCGAATTATATTTGGACTAGAAGAAGTCAAGTTAGTATTCAAGAATTAGAGACCAAATTATAACGATGCCGTTTGGAGACACGACACAATGTGGGAATAAAGAAGAAGAAAAAACTGAAATGAAGGGACAAAAATTAAATGCCCGGCAGAGGACGGCACCGTCTTGATCCATTCACAACCGTACGCCACACCCATCACCGGCGTTTACCGGTGACCAGTGTTTTTTTTTTTTTCTCCATTCTATTATATTTTAATTCCATTTTATTTTATATTCTTTTGCCCGCGTAAATGAGACGAAATAATAAATAATTATATAAAAAAAAACAAATGGGAAACCTCCTAAATCCAAGCTGTTTTCCAGAAGAACCCAAAACTCCACAAAAGTTATATTCACACCTCTCTCTCTTATCTCAAATCTTATAACCATTACAAAATAAAAAACATATAATCACCCAGAAAGCTAAAGAAAAGTTTTCCTTTTTTTCCCTCACGAAATCTCAGAAGATGATATATCTATAAAAGTATCATCTCATAGATTCCATCTTTTCTATTACATGGAGAATAAGAAAGAAGAGGATCATCATCATCATCATCATCATCAACAACAACAAAAGGAGATCAAGAACACAGAGCCAAAGATCGAGCAAGAACAAGAACAGAAACAAGAACTCTCTCAAGCATCATCATCAACAAACATGGCGAATCTAGTTACGTCATCAGATCATCATCAGTTGGAGCTAGCTGGAAATCTCTCAAGCATCTTCGATACTTCATCTTTACCTTTTCCTTATTCTTATTTCGAAGATCACTCTTCTAATAATCCCAATTCTTTCCTTGACTTGCTCCGACAAGATCATCATCAATTTGCTTCTTCCTCTAATTCCTCTTCTTTTTCATTCGATGCCTTTCCTCTTCCTAACAACAACAACAACAACTTTTTTACGGATTTGCCCTTGCCTCAAGCTGAGTCATCAGAAGTTGTGAACACAACACCGACTTCTCCAAACTCAACCTCAGTCTCATCTTCCTCTAACGAAGCTGCAAATGATAACAACAGTGGAAAAGAAGTTACTGTTAAAGATCAAGAAGAAGGAGATCAACAACAAGAGCAAAAGGGTACTAAGCCACAGTAAGTTATTCACTAACCCTCCATTTTAATATTGATTTGTGTTGGATTATTATTAATTATTGTGATTTTTTTGTATTTGTTTTTGAAGATTGAAGGCAAAGAAGAAGAATCAAAAGAAAGCTAGAGAAGCTAGGTTTGCGTTTCTGACGAAGAGTGATATTGATAATCTTGACGACGGTTATAGGTGGAGAAAATACGGCCAAAAAGCTGTCAAAAACAGTCCTTATCCCAGGTATACATACATATAACTCTGTATATACATATATACTGCAGCCCTAGCTAGATCCGTTTAGACCATCCTCACTATATATGCATGTGTTTACATATACTTTGTATGTAAATATATATGCACATCTACTTTATATGCATATATGTAAGTATATTTCACTAGATCGGGTTTATCCAATTCATTATAAAGATCATCAACATTTTCTACATATTGTACACTATACATGATCTTTCAGATATATAATCATATATATAACACATCATATATGTATTTATGTATATAAATCTATTTATCTTTTAGGTGTGTGTAGAGTAGCCCTAGATTCAGTGTTCTCTATATATGCAGAGTCTATTCAATCATAGCATTCACTATATGTTAATATATAACGACTGTATATACCTAATACGCGTTTTTGTAGGGTCAAAAAATTGTCTGAATTTTTGTTTTCGAGAATATATTTTCTTTTGTTCCATTCCATGAGGTTTCTGTGTTTTGTATTTTTCTTTCCTTAATTTCTGTTGCTTGTGTCGGAAGATTTCTGTTTCATCTTGTTCCAAACTATATCTCAGATCTCGAGATCTTCTGTTTCTCATCATATCTTCCATGTTTCAAACTAAAATAGATTAGAGATTTTTTGAAAATGTATAATTACTTAATTGTTTTTTTGTTTTTATTGTGAAAAAAAAACAGAAGCTACTATCGTTGCACCACAGTGGCTTGCGGAGTGAAGAAGAGAGTGGAGAGATCCTCCGATGATCCTTCAATCGTCATGACAACCTACGAAGGTCAACATACTCACCCTTTCCCCATGACGCCACGTGGACACATCGGAATGCTGACATCACCAATCCTAGACCACGGTGCAACCACCGCGTCATCATCATCATTCTCCATCCCTCAGCCACGTTACTTGCTGACTCAACATCATCAACCCTACAACATGTACAACAACAACTCTCTAAGTATGATCAATAGAAGCTCATCCGATGGTACTTTCGTAAATCCAGAGCCATCATCATCATTCCCCGGATTTGGTTATGATATGTCTCAAGCTTCTGCTTCAACTTCTTCTTCCATTAGAGATCATGGATTGCTTCAAGATATTCTTCCTTCGCAGATCAGATCCGATACTATTAACACTCAAACCAATGAAGAGAATAAGAAATGAGCTACTTTTTTTTTTCCCGGGGCAATTGTTTTTTTCTTTTGGCCGGATCCGGATGATAGGTCTCATGAGGAGTTTTTGGCCGGTTTAGTTAAACCGATGTTGCTGGCTTTCTAATGTTTTTTTTTTCTTCATTACATTTAGCATCGGTTTTGTTTAATAACCACGAAATAAACAATCGATGCTAAGTAGGAACAGAGGTTTGTAGCATATGTGATATAGGTATAACTTCATTTTTTGTTTGAGTATTAATAAAAATGTATCGTTTACTTTTTGAGACTTCGGAGAGAGAAGAGTTTAATCTAGTTATATAGCATGTATTTAGTTGTATTATAGTGTCTCTAGATCATCATCTAATTTGTAATCATGCTATGATCTCACTAGCCCGGCTCAAAATCTTACATTTTATTCTATTTCTATCCATCCCATTCGATGTAATACAAAGATATCTCGGTTTTGCATAGATAATATATATATTCGTATACTTACATAGATAATACAATATTTAAATTTCTACTATAGTCAAGATGCAATGCTATCACACACACACACACACACTCACAAAAAAAAATCTTATATGACCTAATGTGATCCTTGGCTGGATATATGAAACTAAATACTTGATTTAATGTTATCATATGCCCAATTTTCATAACTACTATAATTTCCCTCATACTTATTTAAATGTATAAATACCGTAACGATCATCTACATATAATTTTAAAAATGATAACCAAAAAAGCCTAAATAATACAAGATATATTTCATATCTAATTAGTCATATGGGTACTAAATGTTCGCTTTATATTTATCTTTATATAAAGATATTAAAGAGAGAACTTTTAGCCTTAAACTCAAAGTCTCTTTTACAGTTTTCTTCACTGCGACTTTTATGTTAGTCTTCAATCATCACAAATAATATTCAAAAAGACTTTTAGGATTAGCGAGCACACTGTTTATGTACATGCGTACTTGACCCACCCATTAGTTGTAGTCTTGTAGTTATTGTCATATGGACCATATTTGATTTTAACATAATCAAAATCGTTTTTTAATTTCTCTTTTTCTTTAACCAAATGCAAACTGTATTATTTCTAGCATAAGCTTTTTTCAAGTATATGATTTATTACAAGATAAAAAAATTGAAATGTGTTATGGTATATAATTAAACTAATGTATTTATATTTCCCATTTTATTTGACTCATCCTTAATTAACATACACACACACACGCACATATATATCAATCATAAAGTTGATGTATAGATGTATATATATGCGTGCATATATGGTTTAGGTCTTTTTCAGGAAGGCGATAGCTACGCAAGTCATGTATGGCTGATATTAAATATAAAAGTAAATGAAAAAGGCATAGAGTTAGTAATGTCCATAATGGTGTGTCTTTTAATCACTAAAAAAATAGAAACAGAAGGAGTTCTAACAGGCTACTCATCAACCCTATTCCATCACCAACTAAGTATCAAAACAAAGCATGCTTTGTATATTATGGAGAGTTATTACTTATTGCTAATGTGTTTCTTTAATCGTACCATCCCTCCCGTAAAGTTACACACATATACAAAGTTACAAACACACACGACACACCCTGTACACGTATATGTTAGTTCATTTATTATTGGCACCAGTTCTGTTATGGTCTTAAATTTGTTTTGGGGTGGGGTGGAGTGTGTGGGTTGTGGTTAAATTGATAGTTTTGCATTGTAATTCGAAAATTTATACTCCTACAATTTACGAGTATAACTATCAATTTTACCAAAACAAAAATGGACTAACATATTTTTATAACTTAAACCGATTAAATATTTATCGAACAAAAAAATAAGCGCACAATGTGTAGCAAAAGGTCTGAAAAAAAGAAAGGTCTAATTATACCCGAATTTAACTGAAAAAAAAACCCGGAATTGAACAGAAAAAAAAATCGAATTTAACCAAAATTTAAGGAAGGTCTAAATTGATTTAGAGATTGTAAAATACTAGTATTATGACCCATACTATACATGTTGGTTACATTATTTCTACAGTATTTTGTTTCAAAACTAAACATAAAATTAATGTTGGATAAATTCGGTTTTTTCTTGGTTAATTTTGAATAATTCGGTTTTTTCCATTTAAATTAAGGTAATTCAATTAGGTTCAGTTTGGTTATTGGAGAAAACTGGTCTACCGAAAAGAGTTCAGCTCTAAAGAAACATGGATGCAGATACGAATTTCAAGGCCACAGATGGAAGACTACAAAGGAATCTGGTCTTCCCACACCACTCCTAAGTATGCTTTCATTACATGGCTAGTTGCAAAAAACAGACTCGCAACGGGAGATAGAATGATCAAATGGAACAGACAAGCAAACTCAAACTGTATTTTTTGCCAATATCACACGGAGACAAGGGAACATCTGTTCTTCATATGTCATTTCTCTCTGCAGGTATGGCAGACACTCGCAAAAGGATTCTCATCTCTAACTTTACAGCAAACTAGAAGGAAATCCTCAAGCTGATCAACGGAAATGGTCTAGACAGGACAAAGTGCTTCATTATTCGATACATCTTTCAAAACGCTATTCACTCCATTTGGAAAGAAAGGAACAGCATACGACAAGGCGAAGACCCATCCCCATGTGAGAGACTGGTCAAAATGATTGATCAAAACGTTGAAAACAGGCTGAACACAATTAGGAGTGGAGGAGATCTCAAGTATGAGGGAGGCATCCAAGTTTGGTTTGAATCAAAGCAACAAGGATAAAATCTCAGTCTTTTGTTCTTTCATTTTTGTTTTAAAAACAGTATGCACTAAAGTGTAAACAAGTTTATTTTTTTCTTGAATATAATTTAACATTAGATTAAAGAAAAAAAAAAAACTGGTCTAATTGTGGTATAATCCGAGGGCCGGATTTGGTTATTCCGGTTAGAGATTTTCACAGTCGTTACTTCGCCGTATTTGTAGCTTCCTTATAACCGTCGGAGTTGCATGCAGTGGCCCTTTTTTTCTCCTTCCCGCCTAGTCACTGTCCTCTTCTCCGGTCATTGCTTTCACCGGGATTTTCTTTTTCTGTGTTTTGTAATTCGGGTATTTGTCCGGCCCATTACCCAAATCCATTGGATCGTCATTAATATATTATTATTGTTAAAAAAGGAAATTTGATTAACTGAAAACCAAACTGAACGAAAATTCTCAGTTAACCGAAGTAACGTTAACATTTTGTTGACCAGTTCAAGACCTATAGCCAAAGCCGAATCGAACAACCAAAATCTCGGTTTGGTTCGGTTATTTATCCCAGAGCTAGGAGGAGACATCAACAAAATTATTTCACTTAATTCATCATCACCACAAGATATCGAAATCAATTATGCATAAAAAAATGTATGTTTTAACTTCTTTTTTTTTTCATTCGTTCTGTTTTTTTTTCAAGTATATAAATATTTGTGTAATATTTTTGTGCTCACGTATCATTGTTTTCATAGGTTTTTAAGTTGAAAGATAAAATATTAGGTTTTAAAAACTCCATATGAATTTTCTTAAAGAAAACTAATTTGGTTTACCAAAAAAATAAAAATATTCTCTAGAAATATCATCTCATTTAATATTAATTATTAGAATGAGTATTGTAACTTTACACAAAATTATTAATTAGTATTATTTATTAACGTTACTAATACCAAAATTTTAATGGAAAATCCTATTAGAAAAAGAAGATAGATATCACTACAAAGAAAATGGTGTTTTGTATCGCTTAATTTGAATATTAGCATCAGTTATAATTAGTGCAAATGAGTTTTACATCACTTATATAAATGACTCTGGTATTGGTGATGCAAATATTTTAATCATTGTTGAACTAAATATTTGTATCACTTATTATAATCGATGTCAATATGCATCGGTTATTGAAAGTGATGTTATTTTTTGCATCACTTAATATAAATGATGTTATATTAGCTACGGTTATGATAAGTGATGTTATATATTTATATCAGTTGTGAATAACTGATGTTAAGATTAGTTTCAATTTTCGTAAACGATAGTTGTGTCATTTATAATAATTGATGAAAAAATTATATTAAAATTAAAGCTAGATAATTAATTAAATTCTAAAAATAATATATAAATTAAATATCAAATTACATAATCCATATAACATAATTCATCATCGTCCAATCTTAAATATACAAATCCTAATAAAAAAAACTAATACGTCCGCTACGTTCCTCTAAGATTGATCGCCACCTTGGTCTTCAGCATTATGATTTCCACTTATACCAACACCCGTTAGCTGATAAAAACACACAAATTACTTTATCGTCTAAATTTTTATGTATGAAGTTTCAATAAAATTGACGTTCACCTCTGTATATATTATGTAGATTTGGAATGTTTGCAAAGCTGCAGCAAAGTTTGTAGCCCATGCACTTGCCTACATCATTGGTATTTTAAAACAAAAAGTTTGTAAATTATAAGAAATCAGTATATCATAAACTATATCAATACAAAATATAACATGCAAAGATACTATTTCCTGATCAACAGATGCAACACCGAATATGTTCTGGAACAAAGCATTCGTTTTCTTAACTTGATCTTCTAAGACTTTGTTATGCATTTTCAGCTGAGTAATTTCAGAATTTTCTATCTCCGAGCTGATTGCAATTGAGCGTTTCAAGAGTTTTGAAGGTGTAGGTCCACGGCCAACACAACGTACTCGTTCCGGACGTTTTGGACCAAATACCTGAGCATATTCATCATCTAAACTGGCTGTAACATTGCTTGTGGTTTGCATTGACGAATATTTGTTCAATAACGTTGTAAGTATTTCCTAAAAAGTGCAACAAAAGGATATAAGTAAAAAAAATTATTTCTTGTTTGTTAATAATTACAAAAGAATAAATAGAGCTAACCGCGCGTGTTTTAACCTCATCAGATATGTAGCTTCCATCAGATTTTGTGCGAGTGGCAACAAATAAAATCTGCTCGACTTGGTGGTTTTCCGTTCTTGATTGTCTACGTTTAAAATTAAAACACATACATAAATAGTATACAATATAAAAATGATAGCATGAGAACAATCACAAATTTCAGTTTTATAAGAGAACTAAGTAGCTTACAATCTCTTTTCTCTTCCTTGCAAAACTCTTTCTTCCACATACGTGAGGCGTAGTGTGGTTTTTTAATTCTGCTTATTTCGAACTTACATTTTCTGCAAAATATCTTGTCTAATATCCGAGCTTTCAGAAAATGCAAAGTCGAAATAAGCTCTTT